TCCATACCAAATCTCTAAATTTTAATTGAGTATTTGCGAAATTCAACTCGGTTTTTTTGATAGACAATCTTGATCAAATATGTAAGTTCGAATCGTTTACATAAATAAGCGAGTCGACCTCGAGTTTTTACAAGTCGAATCGAACTAAGTTAGCGAACAACTCAATTTGAATAACAGCCCACGTTTTCAGTCCGGGTGAAACAATTCTGGCTACAAAACTGATTATTCATATCTACCAAGATCGTATAAGATCGCCATGTATAACTTATGCCATAGAGGCTAAAGTCTAAACTAGCGGCAACATTCAAACTTTCAAAATTAATTAATGTTGCACACTAATTGCAATGGTTAATGCTACATAACAATTAAAATAGAATTATTTCGAGCATATATTAAATGATAGCAACTTCTTTATACTACATACAACATGATGATATGCATGAGTTATTAAAAGATAAAATATATTCACAAATATATGCAAAATTTCATAATTGAAAACTACAAAATGCTTTTTAACTCGTCAATAAATTATTAATTTGATATATCATATAAAAAAGTCTTATAATAAATATAAAGTTATTAATTCAACGTTATAAATATATTTACAATTTAAGTAATTTTATGATTTTAAAAGTCCTATACATGGATAGAAGTCTAAATGTGGACTACCCGAAACACCACAAATTTACACATATGATTATTAAAATATTTTACAACTTAAGTAACTCAAGTATTTTATAGTTTAAAAGATCTAAGCATTCATAAATTATTAGAAATTTAAACATAAGATTACGAACTACCAAAAGTCGACACATAGGATTATTGAGCATCAATAAGTTTTGAAATGTATATTCGAAAAAACATAGCATTGAAATTATATATAGGATTTTTTTCCTTATTATTTATTTTTTTCAGAATTTGAGAAAAAAAAATCTTTTTCAGAATTTGAAAAAAAATAAAAATAAAAATGACACTATCAATAAGAAGTCCATTATAAAAATCAAATTTTATTATAATCACAAAATATATATTATTGGCAAAACTACATAAACACGGGGTATTTACCCTCATCTTTCAATCTGACGAGAGTCAAAACATATTTTCATTTAGACAATGAATTAAATACATCTTTCTTTTCTTTTTTCTTTTAACACGTTCTCTGCAGTTTATGTAGGTTCCTTTTCATTTGTTTTTGTTGCATCTTTCCTCTTTTCATCTCTAAAATATACAGAACTTCACACAGTTAATATGTTGCTACTGAACAGAGAATCGTCTTTAAAAAAAACAAATAAATAAATAAATAATAAATAAACTTTGCCAGTGGGTTCAAACGTATCAGTAAAGCCAAACTTGATTTCCCATACCATACATAATGCAAGTGCAACTAAAAATAAGCATGATAAACAGATCAAGAGACTTGAAACAACCGCACAAACAGTTGATAAGCGTCATAGTTCGAATAATACAGTTGTTACACCAAGACATAGATGTTTTAAAAGTTAGGCAAAACACAAGTCCTGTATATATATATTTTTTTTATTTTTTTTTGTATTTATTTTTTAACTTCCTTAATAAATTGATCAATTCACATTCTCCATCCCATGATATAGAATGATCCTAACCGTTGAACTCCTGAGGCAAGGGCATAAGAAGCACATTACCCTCGGGTGGCGGTAAATCTGAAATCGATATGAGCTTAGACCTCAATTTCTCATCTCCATCACAATCGAGAGGTTGATTTACTTTCTTCACGCCGTTTATTTCTCCGCGAAAAGTGACATCTGATGGATAATTATCCGGTAATCCGTAGGAGATTGCAATGAGTGACTCACGGGTCATGTCCTCACTGACTTCCTTGCGGGTTCCGGGCTTATCCATACAATGACTCTTNGATAAAATAGATGGAAATTATTTGTAGAACATTTGTTTTACCCTAAACTACAGAAGAATTAATTGAAAACAACACAAAAACGGCTAAAAGGACCAACACCAGTTGGAAAACAAAGAAAAAAGGAATAGATTGGCAATGATAAGGCACAAAATGCATGCACTGTCCTTAAAAATGAAAGGCAAATGGTATGGTAAGGTACTAATGTCATTCAACACCAAGCATCATTAAAACGTCATCAAGATTTCGAAAAGTCCAATTACTCAAACATGCATGAAGCGAGTTGTTTGCATAAATAATATCATTGTCCAAAACCCATTAAAAATTTAGAAACTGCGAAATTCAAGTCAGTACTAACAGGAATGAGGAACAAGAAAGATGAAAAACATAAGATGCTTTCTATTACTGAATTAAAAGTATTGAGAGTTTTAAATATTCATCTGAACAGGTTTTTGTATGTGTTTTGCATGTGTTCTGCTGATAGACTATCACCATTGTAACATCACTAACGGCCTCTTTGAATTTATTCCAATGGTTGTAAATCCCTATGTATAGTAAGCATTTGGATCAAATTCCAACTTCAAACAGCAGCCATCAAATAATTGTTGCTGTATATTATCTATGGCACCCCTAGACTATGTTTGGTAAAAGATAAGCTAGCCGATAAGCTAGCTCATTGCTTATAAGTGATTTTCGAGCTTATAACTTATACCTTATCGCTGAAAAACTAGTTTATATGATAAAAAAATGTTTGGTATAATTAGCTTATAAGCCAGTTGAAATAAACGAGCTTTTATTTAAAAAATTACCTAAAGAAGCTTATGACATGTGCTCAAGCTTTTTAAAAATCACAAACATTTTAAGCAAGAACAAGCTGGGCTGGCAAAAGGTACGAAAAGCTATCTCCAACAGGCATAAAACAGAAATGAGCTCTGCAAAAGTTCAAATCCATATCTATGAAAATGGGCAATAATCATCTTGATCTAACTCAAACAACACTAACAGCAGATCCAAACAAATATCAAATATAATATTTTGATCCAAATAATTCCCAAATCTCATTACAATAAGCAAATCCGATATATCAACATACATCCAACCCAAGCAACCGAAATCCCCATAACCCATAAGGGAATCAAAATAAAAATTATCGCGCCACAAAATACACAAATAAAATAGATAAAATCGGTTAGAAATTGGGGGAAATTACTACGGTGAAAACATCAAATCATCAAGATATTTCATCATCTGCAAATCTACAAAAAATCTAAAAAAGTCCAATCCAAGTCAACCCCACAAAGCGATAAACGCAAAACCAAATCCAACAAATAAAAAAATCTGATAAGGAGCTCCTCTCAATCAACAGGTTGAAAACAAAAATTGGAAAAAAAAAACCCCCGGCAAATTCACGATAATAAAAAAATAAGAATAAAAATCAGAAATATTTACCTGTTTTATCTGATTAGGGACCGTGTTTGACTTTTTGTTCTACGGATGGATAATAATTTATAGGCACATGCTATTGGGGAGAAAAAACTTGAATTTATTACACATTTCTGACTGTGCATTGAGTCACCATCAAGCGGCTCTCACCGTCTCACGTGTCACGGGAAGTGGATAAGATTTTGGTATCGGGCCGATAATTGAGCCTGATTTATTTGGGCTACTTGAATGAAGGGCCACGTTAAGTTTATTCAAATGTGGGCTAATGTTTTGGTTTAAATTGGCCCGTCTTGTTTGGCATTTGGTATGGACCTTCGAAGGCAAATAAGCAGATACCTTGGTCGAAATTGGGACTCGCCCAAGCATGTACCTTGCCTAATTGATATGTTTTCAGTTGAAAAATCGTTAGCAATTTTTCTTATGTCTAGTTAAATATAAATATAAATATAAATTTAATTATCTCGACATATGACATCAATAATTACATTGCTATTCGAGTCAAGTAGAATAGCTTAAATTCGAGCTCTTATTTATTTGTTAAAAACAAGTATGTTAGGACTTAGGAGCTTGTTTAATAAACATAATAATAATACTAAAGTAGTGTCCAAGTGTCCATGAGCAAGGAAAGTTTGTTTGCGAAAACGTTCAGACTTGGTTAAAAGTTTGTATTTCTTTTAACATATTTTAAGAAATAGAAATTATTTGCGAACATGGTAAATTCATTTATTAAAACGGGTTTGATTAATTGTTCGAGTTGAATTTAAATTCATTTAATTAAATAAATAAGTTGAGCATGAGTTTCCACGAGTTCAAGTCGAGCAGTATTCGCAAATTTATCGGGTTCGAATAGTGCTTTTAAATTAAACGAGTTTGACTCAGCTCGACTCGAGTTCGGTTCGTTAAGGCTCGAGTACAGCTCGAGCTGATTTCGTTTGGTTAACGAGTCGAGTTTGGCTCGGCTTGTTAAGGGTTTGAGTTCGAACTCGGCTCACATTTAGATTTGAATAATAATTATAAATTAATTAATAAATGGTTAAAATATTATTTTCTTTTACTAAAGCTTCAAATAAAAAATTGTAACTTTAGTTCCATATGTTTCACTACTCTAATTTTTTTGTCCTTTTCGAATTATGTTTTTGATTTTCGTCCTGTATGTTTGCAAAAGGATTACGAAGAAATCATTTTCGCAACAAAAAAAGGTTCGTTATGTTTTGCAAAAAAATACTCCAATTTCGTCTATTGTGTATGAAAAGGACATTTTTATAACTTTCTTGTAAATATATGAAATAAAAATAAAAGACGCAATTTGAAGACAACAAAAAAAATTGGTATAGTGAAATTTACATGAATAAAATTACAATTTACTCAAATAAAATGTTTTGCTTTCATCTTCAATCTACCCTTTTAGTTTCTCTCTCACACACTGACACACATATGCTCCCTTCCCTCTCACACACACAAACACAAAAATCTCTCTCTCTCTCTCTCTCTCACTCACACACACACACACGCAGAGATTCACACCTAGCACGTATTGCAGTTATTGCAAATGGGAAAACGAGAACTGTTTTTTGGACGTACAATCTACAAAAGCATTTTTACTCTCTCTCTCTGGCAATCATCGACCCATCATGTGACCCCTCCCCCCGTTCCCTGCATTCATTCACTGCTCTCTCTCTCTCTCTCTCTGATCATCTCCCTTAAGCTTCCACACCCACACACTGAGTGTGTTCATTCAAAATTTCTACCTTTTTTCATTTAAGCTCTAGTAAAGCAGCAATATTTGGCTACACAGAGCATAGTTTCTTACTTCTTAGACCCCATCAAGGGAGTACATCTCTCACACACAGCAATTTCGTGTGGGAGCACGCTCAGTGGTGTGTGCAGCGTGTGAATGTGAGCACACTCAGAGATGGGCTGTTTGCAGTCCAAAACTGCCAATGTTCAGTCGCCTGACCAAGAACCCTCGCAGCCGGAGTCCAAACCAGATCTGGGTATTCCTCATTTTCTTCTCTTCATGTTCTTCTTTTTCAATCTGTGCGTGTGTGTTTTTTGGGGGGCTTTGTGTGCGCTTTAACTGGCTTTATAAGGAGTTATTTACATACTGCCCCCTTTTTATCGTCTTTCCTATCATTATTGCGCTTGTAAAAGATTGAACAGTCTCTATTTTTCTTTTTGATTTTTCTAATTTCTTTATGTTGGGCATTTTTGAGTTCGGCCTCGCTTTCCTTTGATAAGCTTCTTTTAAGTTACTTTGTGTATCTGGCTGCATTTTCTGGCTTTTATCGTTTTTTCTTTGAAAAAATTAACTGAACCCAACTTTTCTTTTGTATTGACTTTAATGCTAGATTCAGGTGTTGAAGCGGAAAAAATAGTAATAAATAAAGCCAATCCTAAGCAGATAGTTGAGTCAAACTGGAAAATCTTGCTGTAGAAAATTTTATATTTTTTCCGAGTTATGACTACTGTATAACTAGAGGGTAAGGTGTTCATGTTTATATCTGAGATATTTTATTACATAATGATGATTAATTGCCGATGTAGCAAATGTGGATCAAATGGATCAAGATCAAGTGCCCGCCTTCAAGGAATTCGGACTTGCAGAACTTCGTGCTGCCACAAACGGTTTCAGCAGTGAACTTATAGTTTCAGAGAGTGGTGAGAAAGCTCCAAATGTTGTCTACAGAGGTAAGCTTAGGAGTAACAGGCTTGTCGCCATCAAGCGTTTTTCGAAGCAGTCGTGGCCCGATCCTCAGCAGTTTGTGGTAATTTCTTCTTTTCTGATTTAGCAGTTCCAGCTTTCTATTTAAATTTTAAACCTTGCATTTGCTAATTACCAACTATTTTTTCCCACTCCGAATTGATAATAAAGTCCTCTCTTGCATTTTGGCTCGTAATTTTTTATTTTGAGCTGGATTTTGTTGGCATGTGCCTGGGACTGATTCTATTTGGAGAAGAGAACTCTCAAATGTGTTCATGACTTCATGTTATTGATTTTGTTATAGATTTTATTCCTGTAGTAGGTGCCCTTATTAATTTATTTATTTGTTATTCTCTAATAACTGTTCGAATATTTAGTCTGCATCTTTTGTCAAATGTTCTTCGGGTGCTTTCCATATAATTATCAAGCTGTTCTTTGACCATTCACCAGAAGCTACTCTTGCTGTGTTTGTTATGTCTCCTTTCTATTTCTTGAAGAAATGTTTACATCGGACTTTCGAACTATGCTTATTTTATATATAATGTTAAATTGTTTGCAGGCAGAGGCTGCTGGAGTTGGCAAGGTTCGGCATAAGAGATTGGTTAACTTAATCGGATGCTGTGCTGAAGGCGATGAACGCCTATTAGTTGCAGAGTACATGCCTAATGATACGCTTTCAAAACACCTTTTTCACTGTACGGTTATCTTTTCCTGAAATGACACACTGTGTATGTGTATATGTGTAATTAGAATAATACAAATTGGAAATAATGTGTTTTTTTATTTTTTTTTTATTTTTTTTTATTTTATATATATNCTCTTTGATAAAGGGGATAAGAAGCCTCTGGCATGGGAAATGCGGGTGAGAGTTGCGTATCACATAGCACAAGCTCTTGACCATTGCAATACTGAGAATAGGAAAGTCTATCATGACTTGAATGCCTACAGGGTTCTTTTTGATGAGGTATTCTTGTAAATTTAAGTGGATTGGGATGCCATGGGGTTCTTCAAAACATCAAAATCGCAATATTTTGAAGGAATAGATTATAAGTCAACCAATGGCCAACATAAAGAATAAAGGATCTTCTATGTCTTTGTCTACTAACCATATGTTCAGCTTCACTATATAAGTGATTATTTATAAAATGTTACATGATCATTACAATTAAGTGATTAACGATATTGGCTTATCAGCCCGAATCTATTGAAAGAACCACAGAAATTTTCGAAGTTTCTTGAGTTTCTCTTCGATTTCCAGCCTAAGTTTTACATATCTTTTCTATCCATGAATATTGTTGTCACTGGTAATGGATGTTGCGGTATTTTGACTTTTGAGTGGATATATTTTTTTTTTTCCATTTCTGTTGGGTTACAGGACGGTGATCCTAGGTTATCAAGTTTTGGCTTGATGAAAAATAGTCGGGATGGGAAGAGTTATAGCACAAATTTGGCTTACACTCCCCCTGAGTTTTTGAGAACAGGTACATTTTGCTCTATGATTAAGCAATGCGGGACAGATCAAAATTACATATTTTCCATCCGAGCATGAAGAGTGTGTTCTGTTTCTGACTATCTCTTTCCAAGTTTTTTATTTAGAAAATACTCATGAACCATTAATGCATGGATGTGTTTTTGAAGAACCAGAGTTTCTGAAAGTGTTCAAAGTGGAAACATTTTGATCTTGAATCTCGGCCTGTTTTGATATGATTCTGTTCCACGATTGTATAGCTAAAAGATTTGTGTAGCACAGAATTTTATGCTACTTCTAAACTTTAGTATAATATGACATGCTTAAAGCATTTGCATGCTTACAGTATTCTTTTTTATGATCATGACAAATCTTTCTGAGCCGTGTTTTGTTGAATTTCCTGAAAACTTGAATCTTTTTTTTTTTNCCCACATTCAGGCAGGGTCATTCCAGAGAGTGTGATATACAGTTATGGAACTGTTCTTCTGGATCTTTTGAGCGGAAAACATATCCCGCCTAGTCATGTATGGTGCATTCTATGATTCAAACGTACTCTGTTACATTATTAATAAGATTTGACTTGGCTATGCTTGAAATACCTTCTAGATTGTTCTGTTCGAGTGTCTCTTTCTCAACACAGTAATAAGACACACATATAAATAGAATTCTTCATTTTATTCTCAGTTTCACCTAGCTATGACTCATGAGTTATTGATGTCTTGTACACATTTCCATGAAGAAAATTTGATATTCTCTACAACTTCTTGTAGAAAGATCCACAAAATTAGCTTATCATGTTCATGTACTTTATCAAAAGTGATCAACTCATAAACGTTTGAGGCTTTCGACTGTGCCGTCTAACACAACACAAATTTTCTTACTAGGTGTAAGAGGGCCGAATAAGCTAATAATTGGAATAACATTTTTTTAATTAATTCCTGCTTCAGGCTTTGGATTTGATAAGGGGCAAAAATGTCTTAATGCTGATGGACTCATCCCTGGAAGGACAATACGCCAACGAAGATGCAACTGCATTGGTTGAGCTCGCCTCAAAGTGCCTTCAGTATGAAGCCCGAGATAGGCCCGATGTTAAGTTTCTTCTTACTTCAGTTGCACCCCTTCAAAAACAGACACAAGTACATCTCAGTTTTTCTTAAGTCAATATCTTGTTTTAATAAAATATTACTAATACTATATTAATTATTTTCTATTTTTTTTTCTGTATTTGTTTTTCTTAGGTAGCATCACATGTTCTGATGGACCTAGCAAAGAACCCTGTGGTTCTACCAACAATGCTTTCTCCTCTTGGGAAGGCTTGTGCAAGAATGGATCTTACTGCAGTGCACGACATTTTGCTGAAAACGGGCTATAAAGATGAAGAGGGAGCTGAGAATGAGGTGAGCTTAATTTCTTGCTTATATTAATGGTGGAATAACTAGGAACTATCACTAAGTAAGATTTTTAAAGTACCCTTTCTCCCGTGAAACATGATCTGTGAATTTAAAAATATGATTTTTACGAACTTCGTGTGTAAATTTGGTGAAGCTTTCGTTCCAAGAATGGACACAGCAAGTTCAAGACATGCTGAACACGAAAAAGTTTGGAGATATTGCATTCAGGGACAAGGATTTTAAGAGCGCAATCGAATACTATTCCAAGGTACATTTTCTACTATATGTAGTCTTTGTCCACTTGTGATCTGATTTTTTTTTCTCAAATTAGCACACGAATGGTAAAAAAAAAAAATATACATCACTCAAATTAATCCAACCTTACAAAAGAACTCCATTTACAAGTCAATAATTTNCTAAAGGGCATACATAGTAGCATGTTTTATTCAAAAATTGAATAAATTGTTCCCATGCAGCTGGTATCAATGATGTCGGTACCTTCTGGGACAGTATTCGCTAGACGGGCCCTTTCCTACTTGATGATGGGCCAGCCCGAGCTGGCCCTTAGGGATGCCATGCAGGCTCAAGTTTGCCTGCCTGAGTGGCCCACAGCCTTCTACTTGCAGGCTCTTGCCTTATCTAAGCTGGGGATGGAGACAGATGCCCAAGACATGCTCAATGATGGAGCCTCTTTTGAGGCGAAGAAGCTAAACAGCTGGCGAAACTAAGAAATTTACTCGAGAAAATTAGACGCTCTAAGATGGGCAGTGTTTGGATGATCGTATTTATCGAAGAGTACTTGTGATTCGAAAAAGCTATATCACAATTACATGCTATGTATTAAATCACTTTTAACTAGGCCTGTTTATGATTGGGTTTGTTCATGCATGTGTGTTTTGTTGTTTTATGAGAAGTTTATTCTAATATAGATTTGGTTGTGAGCAGATTATGTATGTATCTTCGGGCCTGGATCCGGGTTGGGTCTGACTTGGCCCGAGATTGGGCCCAAGTCCTTATTTTTTCCGGGCTTCTGGAATCTGTAACTTCGGTTTATGTGGGTAGTCTTTTGATTGCTATTCTTGAGATGTAGCTTTACTATATGAAGAAATGTGGTTATGTCTCGAGTTATTTAGTTCACAAATGTGTGAACTTTAATTTGTATAAAAGATGAATTTGATAATAGTCAACTATAAATTTATTTTAAACTAATTTATACATGCATTAAAGGGCAATATAACATTTATGAACTAGCAATTCATATGTAAAAGGCGAATGCAAATATCCATTTTGATATAGAAAGGTAAATTTAGGGATTTATTATCAAACAACTCAACTAGAGGATTTGAATAATCCCATACATCAAATGAGCCCCAAACATCCAATCCTTATGTTCTCTTGCCCAGGGGGCCTTTTAGTTTTTCTTTTATTTTTAGGATGTATTCATTTCAAATTCTTAACAATTTTTTATTATCTATATATATATATATATATAATTGCTAGTTAAGCAATAAATTTTACCTAATAAATAAAACCTATTTAATTTTACCTACATTACACTTTCCTAATATAATAACTGTTACAATCCATTATTATTATTATTATTATTATTATTATTATTATTATTATTATTATCATCATCACATTAATCCACCTTATCCCATTAATGATAAAAGATTTACTTGGACTTTTTTGGGTTAAGTAAGACAAAAAAGTTACATTTTATATTAATTGACTAATAATTATATTTTTATTGTATCATATAATTGTTATTATGAAAATTAATAATTATATTTTACACTATATAATATATATGGAAGTTACATTTACTATCTTTAGGCTGATTTATAGAAAAGAGTGACACAATTATAGGCATATAGTAACATCATGATATTAATTACAAGTGTCAATAAAAAATTAATACTTCATAAATTAAAAGCTGTTAGCTTTATAATTTAATTTACTAGGTGACTAGTTACAGCATGCCTCTTAATTTTCAATTATGTATTTATTATAGATTGACATAATGAGTAGTTTAGACGTCATTCATACTTCCCCAAGACAAATATGAGTCAGAAATTATAAATAAAAATTAAATATTTTAAAAAGTCCTTGTCTTACATGAAAATGGATTTTATGGCCAGCTTATACTATAATAAGTAGGGTTGGTCACAAACCATAAAAATGCTGATTAATTTGTAAGCTGTATCATAGTCCCACAACTCTACTTAGGCTATATTTGGTAAAATCAACTGAGCTGATTAGTAATTTTCAAGCCTATAACTTATAACTGAAAAGTTAGCTTATATGATAAAGTATTTAGTAAAATTAGTTGATAAGTTAGCTGAAATAAAAAAAATAAAAATTCAACAAGCTTATTTGAAAAACTAACCAAAGAAGCTTATTAAATAAACTCGATTTTTTTTTTTAAAAAAAAAACGAGCTTATTTGAATACAAGGAGCTTATAAGCTAATCAAATAAACTATAAGCTAGCTTATTTGTCTCCGAAGCATAGATGTTGGTTCTGATTTAAGGAGATTTTGAATTTAAGCATAACATTTTCTTATNATTCAAAATATAGCATAAGTACCTCGTATTAGAGGATATTTATATATCTGAGTAGTAAATCTGAGCACGTTTTGAGTTAGGTGCCGAATTATACTTAATTAGTAGTGTCGTCCTGTCTTTGTATAGACTATCTTGAATGTGATTGTGACGAGGTTTGAAAATCAGATAATTAGTGTGTTGGACAAAGAGAAATTTGCAAAAAAAAAATAAAAATTGCTAGTTTTGTGTTTGTATTTATAAAAATATTATTTTATTATTAAGCAAAAAATAAAAATAAAAATTGTGTGTTTGTATTTATAAAAATATTATTTTATTTATTAAGACAAAAAAAGAAACATTCATGTGTTAATACTAAATGTGGTACTTTGTAAAAGAAAATTTTCATTTTCATATTTTTTTCAAATTTAAAAAGTTAAACACAAATTTTTGTGTGAGACAACCGAACGGGTAGGCAGGTCACCCCTTATACTTTTAAAATATTAAGACATACTTATACTAAAAAAATCTCATACTTTTGTTTATGTTATTTTTTTAAAATATGTCAATTATATTTGTATTTGAAAATATATATATTTTCTAAAATATGTAATTGATTAACATTTAAGGTACGCTAGCCACCCCCTAACCCAACGTGAACAGGGGTAATGTCGGTGTTTAAAATATCCTACCGTATGAGCAAGTAATATTGATGATACCGGCTATTGGTCTAGCATAATTACACACAAAATACCAAATTTACAGTAATACCGAATTGCGTACCAAATTTAAACAGTAAATAGTGATCAACAAATAAAAATTTCTAAACAAAATAGGAAAAGAAAAATTATTAACTTCAAAGTAAAAACTTAAAATTTAAATATTGAGCTAGTTTGGATTGGGTGCTTTATTTTTATTTCATTGCGAATTGAAATTTAATGAAGATGTTTATTTAATTTTTTATTATTTTATATTTGGCATTCATGTATTATTTTATGGATATTTATATACATTATATTTGGCATTATATTGACCGTAATACGAATGTACTTTCACTCGCCTAACGCAGTTACCTTAATTCATTTCTCTTGGCTTTCTAATTAAACATTTCTTTAAGAGAAGAATGANGTCATGGCTATAAGAAAAGATTAATAAACAACTAAAAGCTTAATAATAAAAAAATATTTACATTAAGACCATAAATTCTTATACGTGTGAGATAGCTTAACTGTTAGGCGAATCAACTTGTCATACATTTATAACGAAAAAAATACATACTTATATTGTAACATGTCATCTTTTACTTATGTTATTATTTTATATTATGGCATTCCAATTCAAAAATATAAATATTACTAATAAAATATGGTATTCCAATTCAAAAATATATTATGGCATTCCAATTCAAAAATATAAATATTATTAATAAAATTTGGTCGTCTAACCGTTAAACATAATCATTATATCTACTCAACTGTATGTCTATAAAACATGCAAACCAATGCCCAAATATCATGAAAATATCATTTTCCCTAAAAATGTTTTGCAACTATTTATTAACAAAGACTAGTAGATAGTTGAATGCATGTACGTAGGTTGGAAAGGGAATATCTATATCCTAATTTCACTTGCCTTACTAGTTTTATATTTCTAATTTCATTTGATAATATTTTTAATGTCTTTTCTCACTCTTATATTTAAAATTATTGGGGTTGAACACCAAACGCAGCGGACAAAAATACGTCTCCAACAAAGGCAAGCACTACTCCAAACGAAAATAAACCAACACAAATAAATAAAAGACAAAAAATAAAAAGGACACAGAAATTGATAACGGAGTTCGGCGAAAATAGCCTACGTCTCCGGGCACCGCCAACCGCAACGTCAAATTTACTAAACTCACCAACAAAATACAACTAGGGTTAAATAACCCACAAATTAGGATTTCCTTAAATAAAGATTTCCTACCAAGAGAGGAGAGAATAGAATAAGGTGCAATTGTAACCCAAAGACAAGGGACCTATTTATACTAATAAGATCCTACACATCTTTGGTATACATCCAATGTGGGACAACAATTAATCAAAATCTAACAATCCTCCACCTTGACTAATTTTGCTCCCACTTCGACTCTTCAATCCAAATCAACTGCTGGCGGTGCCTCAAATGCGCCTCACGGCGCCAACTCAAATATGCAGAATGTTGGTCAAGTCTAAACAATGTTCAAACTTGAATGTTGTCACTACCTTGGTCATCATATCTGCAGGATTCTCCGTCGTCTTGATCTTCTTCAACACAACGGTTCCATCTTCTAGAATCTCCCGCACAAAGTGATATCGAACATCAATATGCTTTGTTCTTGCATGAAATACTTGATTTTTCGCTAAGTGAATAGCGCTCTGACTGTCACAATGCACTAAGACGTGCTTTTGACCAACTCCCAAGTCTTCAAGCAAACTTTGAAGCCAAATAGCCTCCTTCACAGCTTTAGTAACCGCCATATACTTTGCCTCTGTTGTAGACAAAACAACCGTTGACTGTAAGGTAGACTTCCAACTGACTGGAGCTTCTGCAAAAGTGAACAAATATCCAGTCGTTGATCTTCGCTTATCTAAATCACCCGCGTAGTTAGAATCACAATATCCAACTACACATTGACCAACTTCATTCTGCTCATAAACTAATCCAACGTCTACAGTATTATGAATGTACCGTAGAATCCATTTCACAGCTTGCCAATGACCTTTACCAGGGTCATGCATATATCTGCTAACAACACCAACTGCTTGTGAAATGTCGGGCCTTGTACACACCATCGCATACATCAAACTACCAACTGCATTTGCATATGAGACTCTATCCATGTATTCTCGTTCTTCATCACAATTTGGCGATAATTGGGCACTTAACTTAATATGAGGGGCAAGTGGTGTACTTACAGGCTTCGTCTCATCTTTTATGCCGAAACGCTGTAGTACCTTATTCAGATATTGCTTCTGAGTCAAACGAAGTTTGCCTCTCCTTCTGTCCCTACTTATCTCCATCCCGAGAATTTTCTTAGCTTCCCCTAAGTCTTTCATCTCAAACTCTTGATTCAATTGAGCCTTCAAATGATCAATTTCCACTTGGCTCTTTCATGCAACCAACAAGTCATCCACATACAAGAGTAAGTCTTGCAGCTTGCGTAGATACACACAATGATCATGTCTGCTTCGTGTGTACTTCTGCCCAATCATAAACTTATCAAACCGTTTGTACCACTGTCTCGGAGATTGCTTCAGTCCGTACAACAATTTGTTCAACTTACAGACCCAATTCTCTTTTCCAAGAACTTTGAATCCTTCTGGCTGAGTCATGTAGATTTTCTCATCCAAATCTCTGTGTAAGAACGCCGTCTTCACGTCAAGTTGAGCTAGCTCTAAATCAAACTGTGCTGCTAAAGCCAACAAAATTCTAATGGAAGAGTGCTTAACAATTGGAGAAAACACTTCATTATAATCAACTCCTTCCTTCTGAGCGTAGCCTTTAGCCACCAATCTTGCCTTGTAGCGCACATCATTCTTATGAGGAAA